GGCTCAGGGGTCGGCGGCACTGGCGGTAGCCATTAAATATATATGTACATACATACTGCCTGCATCTGTACGGAAATGACTTTTTGCATGTGTGCTGCATCAACTTGCGAATTCCGATCTTCGACTCACCCATCTTCATAACCAGACCGCCAAGCCTACAAGCTTTAAAGTTTATTGCAACCACATGAATGCGATGTTGTCAAAACACTGCGACTCTGAGGCTTGCACGAAGCAGGGTAGATTTTTGTACACCATGATGAACTTCAAGCCTCAGCTGCTCCCCAAAGATCACATGACACATCATTGTATTCCTTTGCTAGCTGCATCAAGCATTGCCGCCATCATTGCCTAGTCTCCCGCAGTCGAGTAGTCACTAGTGGATGACGCAATGCTGATCCGTGCATTCTCGTCTTTATGACCAGGTCTTATCTCCATCAAGGCGCATCGATCCTCATGATGCAGATTCATGCCGATTCATTGGATTTTGCAGTGTGTATCATTGCAGATTGATCATGTCTCTGCACCATCGAGAGTCTGACGCTGGACGCTGTTGGCATCCCATGCTGCAAGGCACTCACTCTTAGCTGGCCATTGATGTACGGTGCGGCGCTACGGTGCCAACAGGTCTCCACGACAATTGAAAACCTTGTCATAAACTCAGGGCCCGAACATGAGGCCCAATATACTAAAATACTGAAACTCTTGTTATGGAAGGGACCCTCATTTTTAGAAACGCCGGCAGAAGATTGTTTTGCTAATCGATGCTCGCTCTCAAGGGACCATAATGTCACTATATAACCCCTATATACTACATTCCCCACTAAGAACCAGTAAGCCGTTGTCATGAGAAGTCCCAGTTCCTAGACGGAGTGACAATGAAACGTGACTTTAATGAGTACCCCAAAACAGGGAACCCCAAGTATATAGTAGGAATAGAATAGGAATGTACCTACCAGGGTCCTTACATTCCTGTTATATTCCCATTGAAGTCCTTTCGCGATGCAAACTAACAAGCTGGCCAACCGACGCCTCAGCACTTTTTCAAGAAAAAAACATCTAAAACCATGATCTATAAACTGACCCTGACACGGAAACCTGTGGAGTAGCTCGCAACCCACCAAATCAAAAGCCCTCCCCATCCCACACAAGCATCAAACGAGCAAGTCTGACCAGAGCTACTGCCACTTCTACAGTAATACCTTCATGCTGAAATGGTTCATATTAGAGAAGGCGTCGCACGTAATTTCTCATAAAACTTACATGACCAATACCTATATATATCTCCTAAACGCTAGAGATTAAACAACCCTTGCCCCAATACCTGAAGATGTGAGCCAGGCCTGAGATCTCTGTGCATCAGCCAGTGTCGCCGCCGAGGTCACCTAGGCTCTTGCTGGATCTTGCCTGGGTAGTCCCATGGTTCAGGGCTTAAGGCTATGACGGGCCGCAGCCAGGATAATTTTGAATCCAGTCTGACATCAAGCGTGGGGTGTTTTTTAGGGAACAGGGTGCCACCACAAGGAATGCAACTATTATATGTTCGCTGCCGGTAATCTTCTGCACATATTCTGCTATAGAGCAATTGCAAAAGTGGTCCTCAAATCCTAAAAATCGGTGACTGGATGAGAGCGGTCTGGACTTCAGATTTTTGTTGGCCAACTGTCCTTTGAAGCGTGACAGATCATTCGTCCCATGACTGAAGGGGTTGAAGCACAGCAGTATAGCACAAAGATGCATTGTCGTGCCGCATAATACACGTGACCCCAAGCAAAATAAGAACGTCCGTTTGAGCCTCGTATGCTCGTGAAATGAACCAACCCTGAATGTCACGCTATACTCGTGCAGCAAGCGCCTTGCACGGGACCGAGTTCTCCTCCGCATGGTAGAAGGTCTGATCAGGACCGTTCGCTGACAGAATGCGGGTTTGTCCAAAGGGGCACATCTGTCCAAAACTGGAGATGCTACGAATCATAGCTACTACTATTTTCTTAGTACTATTCTATTACCATTATTACTGCAAATAACATACCCAGTCATGTGGTCAAACCGGCTTGCCATCTGAGCCCGAACAAGCCCAATTGTCTCGCATTGCCCCAATAGCAATACTAATTGCAAGAGTAACACCAGTAATTGTAGCAATGGTAATCAAGTAATCATGATAAAACAGAATGATAATGAAAATAATAACAACCCTCATAAAATATATACATATATATATATATATACAAATATAAATATAAATACACACATATATACTGCAATAATAAGAACAAACATGATAATCCTAGTAGTGATGGTAATCATTCGCAACGATAGTAGCAACATGCTCTGCGGCAGTGGCTCATGAAGGAGCCCCAGCCTCAAACAGGGTTTAGGGTTTAGGGTTCAGGGTGTAGCCAAACCAAGAGACTCCCAGCTTCAAGTAATACGGTGGATACGAAAAATCCTACATGACCCTTAGTACATAGTATAATAAGGTCATGCAGATTTTTAGTATCAACAGTAGTAGTAGAACGACTGAGTATTCTTTCATAGTACTGGGTTTCCCTATTAAGTTAAGTACAGTCTGATAGGAACAGTTTCTAGTAGTCATAGATGCGAGCTGTATGGGTTTAGGGTTCAGGGTTTAGGGTCGTCAAAAGTTGTGGTCCCCTCTGGGATGCCGTAAAGCAAATATTGGGCCCAACAAAGGGGACCATGATTTTGACAACTAAGATGAACCCCAATCAGCATCCCAGTACCAACCTATAGTAACAACCTAGATCCCCTCATGACCGCAGTTTGAACATCATACCATCAGCAGCTGTGACTCAAAGCCCAAGCCTCCGAGATACCAATCGTGTGGGACGACTGGTGGGCCCTCGGGTTTTCCATCAATACCTGGCACGCAAAGCGTCTGCTTAAGGGGACAGACCTACTATCTTGATGCAGAATGAGGGAGGCTACACATTCAGAACAGATTTGGCGATATATCATACAAAAATATATCAAAGGACTGCAAGGAGCCCCCTCCCTCAAGGCATTTCATCCAACAAGGACAAGCAGGTTGTTCTGTCAAGCTCCTGCACCCTAAGTCCCAATCTCTCAAGTCCAGAACCTCAGCCCTAGCAACCGTTGACCGTTGCCTTCAAAGGTCTAGACCACCGAACCCCTTTCCGCTTCATGCGCCTTAAGGAAAATCAGCGCGGAGGCATCAGTGACAGTTTTGCGGCAGGCTTCGAAAGCTGCAACCTGGCCATTTATCCACTGAGAATGCTAACACTTACTAGAATGATGCGGGCTTTCACGGGGATTACAAGGGGATTCTCGAAATCCCTGTGGCAGCTTCACCCAAGATCCTAAACCCCAAATCCCAAACCCTGTGCCCTAGATGACCTTGGACCTTGGAGTTTGTTGAGTTCTTGCGTGATTAGTACGGATAGACTAAATATGGAACATAGGGATCATTAGTTGGGCTTTTGCACGAAGATCCATTTGTCCATAGTAATCTTTATACCCGTTTTTATACCACCAGTCACCCTTACAGATGCCCAGTTTCCATTTCATCTTGCAGTTAGCTCTGTATTCTACAAGTACAAGTCTGAGCTCTACACCCTAAACTCCTCCATCCATATAAGCCCTTAACCCAAAACAATCGGGAAGTAAAACCCTAAACAATTGCAAAGCAAAATCGGTCCTTGCTCTCTGGCTTGATCCCAGGCTTCTGGATGGCGGACTTGCACTCCTGGCGCAACATGCGGTGTAGAGCCGATAGGGCTTCATGAAGGTTTTCCAGGCTAAGCTTTCAAGGGTATGGGGATATGAGGTTCTATAGGCGTTCTGGGGGTAACTATAAGATCAAATAGGGTTCTAGGGTCCAGGGCCGAATTAACAACCCAGGAAACATGGCCAAAATTGGGGCTCATACTCGTGCGACAACTTTTCTGTGTTTTTCAACATATCAGTTTATGCAAGAAAATGCTGAGTTCTGCTGAGATGGAGGCGTCCTCGAGGCGATTCACCAGGGAAGCACCGTTGCCAGTGGTGCAAACGGCACCCAATCGGGCAACCTCTCACGGTCACTGCTAAAGCCTTGAAAGTCTGCAGCAATTTTAGCATTTTAAATGCGGCTATGTTTGGGGTCACAATCTCTCAGGAATATGTGGAGCGAAGGCGGTCCTTGCTTTCCAACCCGATCCTGGCGGTTTTGACGGCAATCTCCGCCTCCTCAAAAGCATTGTCTGCTGTTACAGAAGAAAAGCTGAAAGCAGGCACTCGATTGTGGAGCTTTGGAAGGCTGCCCACGTACTGTACACCGAAGTTGAACAGTTGAACCGCGCTCGACCCCATCTATCTCGCAATCACACAAATATCTACATCAAGACTAGCAAAGGTGCTACCAACAAAATCACTGGGGACTACGCGTGCAAGCTCAACTCTCCTGGAGAGCTTTGCTCCAGGCGGCGGCAGCAGCCACTTCGTCGAGCGCAGTCCTGCCAATAGCTTCCGACAGTAAAGATAACTTGAAATCTGGATCTTCTTGCTGCCATGGACATGCGAAGGTGTCCCTGCACAATCTCTGCAACCCCGGCGAACCATTGTGGCTTGGGAAGCTTTACAAGGCAACACCTTTGCTGGCACCACTGCCGCAGAGACTGAGCGTTTCCGAAGCACTACAAGCCCTACAGCATTCAGGAAGAGTCAGATGCTGCCCCGTCACAGTGATGATGCACACACGGATGCAACTTGCCAAATAGCTCGCGGCTCTACACGTGACTGGGAGAATTGTTTCGCGATGGCAGGACTTGTGAGGCATGACCGGCCTCAACGCGCCTGGAGCTTGGGCAGCCACCTGCCGAGGCAAGAAGATGTTGAAGCATCTCGGAACCAAGCGTCAAAAAAACCAGGAGCCCCGCATTGGGATGCCCAGAACATGGCGCATGCCTCGCATCAAGCCAGTTACTACAAGCTAAGGGCAGTAGCTCAGTAGCATGCTGATGCTTGTGAAGTATTCACTTATTCCCTCCGGCTAGCGCTGCTGGGGCACTTAATGGCCGTCTCGCTTGCTGCAGCAACACAACCATTCGGCCAACCAGTCCAGCACGGTGGGCTGTGGCTCAGGCTCTGCGCGCAGCGCCTTTTCGGACTCCTGGCCAAGAGTATGGCGAACATCTAGCAAGTTCAACATGCACCTCTGGAAACCGCAAGCGCTCCTTCCATGCGAGCCCGTCCGCACGCATGGCCGCCTGGGCGTCCACCGAGTCGTCGAGGCCCATGCAGGCCGCATACTCACCGGCCGCATTTCGCGGCGACCCCTCGAGCAAGGTGGGGTTGAGTCCTCCAGGCCTGCGGCGCTGCATGGCGCAAGCGAAGGCGGAAAGGGGAATGGTTCGAGCCCGAAGCTTCGAAGTTGCTTTGCGCTTCACTGCAAGGACTCAAGCCGTGAGCAAACTTCGCAAGGAGGCTACACACATTCAGACACACTCGCAGGAATGGCCCCTTGACATTTGTCCATCGAATATCACGCAAGCCACCTACAGTATCTGAAAAGACTCCATGCAAGCGCTGTTCTCAAACCGGCGGAGCTGCTCTACGACCTTATAGCAGCAGCAGGACCGGCTTCACCAAGGCAATGATGCGATCGGTGACAGAAGCTTCATAAGGAAGCTGGATCGTTTCGCCATGGCCATCGATGGCGCTTCTCAAGCAGGACTGGCCTCAGCGGACCTCGAGCTTGGGTAGCCACCGTGCGGAGCAAGAATACGTCCAAGCACGTCGAAACAAAGCGTCCAGAAACAACATCTGCCCTGGCCCAAGCCTCCCACATGGCCCAAGCCTCCCATCAGGCTGCAAAGGCTGAGCCTGGTAGCATGCTCCAGCTTCTGCTGCTTGGGCACTCAGTGATACTCAGTTGCCCACTTGTTTGCCATAGCAGCAGAGCCACTCACCCAGTCCAGAATTTTGGTCGCGTCGGCTCTGTGCGGGGAGTCTTCGCGGATTCCTGGCCGAGACCATGACGGACATCTTTCGCGAGTCCAAGATGGAATCTGGGAACCGCATGCATTCACAGCATGCAGGGCCTAGATCCTGCTCCAGCCCGTCGGCACGCATGGCTGCCTGAGCATTTGCCGGCCGCGTTCCTCGGGGAGCCCTCCAGCGGGCGCCGCTGAATGGCACAAACACTATCTGCTGCCACGGGAAGCTACTGCATGAGCCCAAAGCTTCCCAGCGCATCCGGGTATCTGCCAAGGGCTTCCCAAGCCATGAGCAAACCTCGCAAAATGCCAGGCACGTTCGCACGCACTGCCCCTTTGCATTTTCCAGCGCACTTTGCAAGCGATACGATGACCGAAATGGGTCCATCGGAAGCGATGATCGAAGCGATCTAAAGCCGACCTCATGGCCACAGCATGCCACAGGACCAGTTCAATGTTTTAAAGCTTCCTGGAAAAAAGGGTTGCAGCTGGACCAGGCCAGGGAGCTTTTGGGCTTCAGCAGGGTGAGTTCTCTAGCGAGCTCGCTCAATTGCCAAATGGAGCTGCTCGATGACCTCAGACTCATGGCCGCTGTAGGAGAGGTTCAAAGCCTGGTGTGGAAACAGGTTGCAGCTCAACCAAGCCAGGGAGCTTGTGGTGATTCAACGTGGTAGCAATGCGAAAGGTGCCGGCAGCTGCGCCGTGTGCAGCGCTCCAAGCGTGGTGACTCGGAGTTGTTCAGCACAGCCTGCAGCTCTGGGCTGCAGCCCATGAGCAGGAAAAAAAGTCTTCGGGTACTGAAGCATGTGCTAAAGAAACCCACTTTTGCAAGTCTGCTGCAGCAGTGCAGTGCAGACTCTTAGCATTGCCTCGCCGATCTTCGTGACCAGACCGCCAAGCCTACAAGCTTTCGGATCTAGTGCAACCACATCATGTGCCAGGCTGTCAGCAGTAGCTCTTGCTACAGGACCCTTCCCTTCCGAGGCTTGCGCCAAGCAGGGGTGATGCCGGTGTCATGCTGCATGCTCACTTTCGAGCCTCAGCTCCCCGAAGTTCGCACACCTTCTTTGCTGCATCAATGATTGCTGCCATCACTGCTATCATCGCTATTCTTCATGCCAGCAACAAACGAACGAATCCTTACGTTATGTTCCCCATTCGCGTCGGTCCTCAGCCCGCGACCCTCAGCCGGGTTATGCATAGTCGCCGTCACCTATCGGTTGAGGTTCGAATGTCGCGGGAGTACGAAGACAATCAGATATAACATATGTCCCATAGTCTAAACTCCTAGTATCCCCCCAACTGTAATAACCTCTAGAGTACTCCCCTATGCAATCCTCTATATAACCCCCTGTAAGTTTTGCTGCTAAGCAACTTAAATGAAGTTACTACATGATGGGTATAGGGTTTAGGGTACTTTATCCTTCCCCTATAATGGAGCATCACATGGACAAGAACATGGACATTTAAATGGAAACTGGGGAATATAGGGATTAAGGTAACTTAAATTAAGTTACCATAGTGGGTAATTTTAGTAAATAATAGGATTCCCACAATATAGTAACTCAAATTAAGTTCCTCAACAGCGACCCAGTCAAGAGAGTCGGTGGCACTGCACTTTACTTTGGGCTGGCCACTGATGTAAGATGGGATCCTTTAGAGGTCTCCTGCAGGACAACAGGGACCCTTATCAATCCAGACGCACAGGGAGATGATCCTTATCTGGCAAATGCTCTGAGGCAGGTGAGGTCCATGCAACAAGCCGGACACACCATGAAAAGAATCAAGCACTAGGAAGGCCCGGGAAAGTGCTGCAGCTGACACCCCGACACTTCTTCTATAGTGCTGCAAGCTCTATGACACTGATACTCACCCTGACACACTTCGGTGCAGAGCGACTTGCAACTGACCACATGGAAACCCTTCCCCAGTTCTAGACAACAATCTTACAAGCCAGTCCGTCGGAGCTGCTGAACTATAGTAATATAGAGATCATATAGTCATATAATTAGGGAGAATATAGTAGTATAGGTGGGATGTAGGGATTATATAAGGATACTGGAACAGAAAATGGAAACTACTGTTAAGTGCCACTTCTACAACAAGAAGCGAAGAGGAAAGCTCCTTGAAAACAGGCAGCCCAAAGGCGGAAGCACAGCATCGTGTAAACATCTACCTAAACCCCAAAACAATGGCCTCTAGAGCTGTTATTATGGGTTTAAGGCTATTACTTTACATATTTTGGGGTGTGGGTTTAGGTAGCAGCAAAAAGTAAGCCGTGCCAAACCGCGAACTGATGGAATGCCAGCTTAAGCCCACCATCTACGGCGTGCCGCCCCCCCCTCAAGGTGTCCGTGTTTTTTTCCACCATCCAAATATGAAAACACCACGAGGAGCCCTGCATCCACCGTTCACAGCGATTTCCTACCTTTGGCTCACGCAAGAGAAGGCGTCCCACCTAACCACGTTTAGGACTTGTCACGGAACATCTACAAAAACCATGAAAAGTTCCAAAGGTTCAGGATAAGAAGGTTCAGGCTCAAGATTCCGCCGCCCTCGACCTCCTAAATCCCATCCAGAAGCAAGGCCCGAAGTTGGAACCTGAGCTTTCTGTGCATCAGGCAGTGTCGCCGCCGAGGTCACCTAGGCTCTTGCGGGACATAACCTGGGTAACCCAGTCCCGATAATGGAAAAGGAACATGGAAACTACTGTATGGTATGTTGGGGTGATATGGGGATAATGGAAAAGAATATGGAAACTACTCAAATGGGTGTGTAGAGTTTTAGGGCAATGTAGTTTCCACGGAGGGATTTAGGGTTTATAGGGCTACAGCAGGGGGCCGTATCCAAGACATACGGGAATTCCTCAACTAATCCCTAAACCCTAAACCCAAAGCACCCTAAACCCCTAACCCCTAAACCCTAAACCCCAAACCCTTAAACCCTAAGCCCTAAACCCTAAGCCCTAAACCCCTGAGCTGCCAACCCCAGGGATATATGGGGGCTTCCCGAAAGGTTTAGGGCTATGGGGATTTAGGGTTTAGGGTTTAGGGGGCTTCCCGAAATTAGGGGTACCTTATTTAGGAGTTCCCATAATAAGGACTTTAGTATTTTGGGCTCTATATGGTCGCCCTATGTAGGGAAACTACTATATGGGGATTCTAAGGGGATTGCGGGGGATAATTTTGAGTATCTAGGGATCATTTTGAAAGTGCGAGGTTGGGTGAGTCCGAAATTGCCTCAGCTTCTGTAGATACCTCGGACATCATGAACGCAGTAGACCTGGGAAGATCTTGGCATTTCGTGCGAATACCAAACGTCATGTTTCTTTTTCTAAGTTGTGTGTGTAGCTTGGGGTTGAGATTTGGGTTGGGG